GGGGGGAACTGTTACATCACACAACCTTATCCTGCCCATGTGGCAAGTGGGAGCATTCATGAGTGGGCCGACATATTGCTAAGTGGGAGATCGTCATTACACATGAAAAAGACTTGACAAGGCACAAACATGCGACTAGCGAGGCAGCCAGGATTGAACCGGAGCGTCACCAAGTGCAAAATGGACGAAACACATGAGTGAGACTTGATCAAAACACGTGCATGAGGCTATGGAAGCAACCAAGATTGAACTGGAACATCATCATGTGACAGACGGATGAAACACAAGGGTGAGGCTTGATCAAACACATGTAATTGATTATGGAAGCAACCAAGATTGAACCGGAACATCATCAGGTGAAAGATGGATGAAACATAAGAGTGAGAGTTGATCAAACACATGCATGAGACTATGGAAGCAACCAAGATTGAACTGGGACATCATCAAGTAAAAGATGGATGAAACACAAGAGTGAGAGTTGATCAGACACATCCATGAGACTATGGAAGCCACCAAGATTGAACCGAAACATCATCAAGTGAAAGATGGATGAAACACAAGAGTGAGAGTTAATCAAACATATGCATGAGACTATGGAAGCAATCGAGATTGAACCGAAACATCATCAAGTGAAAGATGGATGAAACACAAGAGTGAGAGTTGATCAGACACATGCATGAGACTATGGAAACCACGAAGATTGAACCGGAACATCATAAAGTGAACGATGAATGAAACACAAGAGTGCGAGTTGATCAAACACGTGCGCGAGATTATGGGAGCAACCAAGATTGAACCGGAACATCATTAAGTGAAAGATGGATGAAACGAAGAGTGAGAGTTGATCAAAGACATGCATGAGAAGCAACCAAGACTGAATCGGAACATCATCAAGTGGAAGATGGATGAAACACAGGAGTGAGAGTTGATCAAACACATGCATGGGACTATGGGAGCAACCAAGATTGAACCGGAACATCATCAAGTGAAAGTTGGATGAAACACAAGAGTGAGAGTTGATCAAACACATGCATGAGACTATGGGAGCAACCAAGATTGAACCGGAACATCATCAAGTGAAACATGGATGAAACACAAGACAAAAAGAGGGCATCAACACTAGAATGAGCAAGAATCTAAGTAACGATTTATTCCCAAGTGAAGAAAAGGGCAATACAAGGGGGGAGAGTGAGAGTGAGAGTGAGCATGAAAGCACAAAAGGCAAAGTGGCGATTTACTTTGGAGTGGTGAAATGGACTAATCATGGGCTAATGGTGACATTAACATCAAAAACAGCAAAAGACAAAGTTATGATTTGCACCCAAGTAGAATCTCATCAGAAAGTGAAGAGAGAGTGAGTAAGACTACCTCTCATGGATGGGAACTGGAAGGGCAAAGTGGCGATTAACTTCGGAGTGGGAAAATGGACTAATAACGGACTAATGGTGACATCAACAACAAAAACTGCAAATAACAAAGTTGCGATTTGCACCTAAGTGAAAATCTCATCAAAAAGTGAAGAGCGAGTGAGTAGGACTCACTCTCATGCATGAAAACTGAAAGGGCAAAGTGGTGATTTACTTTGGAGTGGGAAAATTTGGAGTGGGAAAATAGACTAATCTTGGACTAATGGTGACATCAACAACAAAAACAGCAAGAGACAAAGTTGTGATTTGCACCCAAGTGGAAATCTCACAAAAAAAGTGAAGACAAAGTGAGTAAAACTCACTCTCATGCATGGAAACTGAAAGGGCAAAGTGGCGATTTACTTTGGAGTGAGAAATAAACTAATCATGGATTAATGGTGACATCAACAACAAAAACAACAAGAGACAAAGTTGCGATTTGCACCGTAGTGGAAATCTCATCAAAAAGTGAAGAGAGAGTATAACTCACTCTCATGCATAGAAATTGAAAGGGTAAAAGTGGCGATTTACTTTGGAGTGAGAAACTAGACTAATCATGGACTAACGGTGACATCAACAATAAAAACAGCAAGAGACAAAGTTACGATTTGCACCCAAGTGGAAATCTCATCAAAAAGTGAAGAGAGTGAATATAACTCACTCTCATGCATGGAAACTAAAAAGGCAAAGTGGCGATTTACTTTGGAGTGGGGAAATGGCCAAAACGGAGGCAATCTCTAGTGAAGAAACTACTTCCCTATCTTTCCATGCTTAGCATGTTAATCATGGAGAGAGGGAAAGAGGAGGAGAGAGGGAGGAAGAAGGTGATGAACAATGAAGACTAATTAGGAGGAGAGGAAGGGGAAGAATAAGAATTGAGAAGAAGAAGAAGAAGAAGAGGAAAAGAAGATGAGCGAGGAGGGGAAGAGGGGAACGGGAAAAGGGAGAAAAAGAAAGAGAGGAAGGAGAAGAAGAAGAGGAAGAAGAAAAAGGAGGAGAAAAAAAAGAAGAAGATGAAGAAGAAGAAGTATCTCGCTCACCTCCTCTAGTGTTTCGAAATGGAGGACTCAACCTTGGTGAAACTCCTCCCCTCACACACTTGCAGATCAGCTATGGCATCCTTCTACTTCAAGCCCTTTTCTCCTTCCTTCCCCAGCCTCTCTCAGGCTATGGCAGACTTCTACCACTAAGGCTATGGTGTCCTCCCCTCTAGGAGGGCTAAATGGATTCCCACAAGCCTTCCCCTCTCTCTCCTTTGGCGGATTACTTCCTTGGGCCAGCACCACCTCTACCAGCCTCAGTTGTCACTCTCACTAGCTTATAGCCTCCTCCAAGCCTCTAGACTGGCAGCGGTTCCCCTCCTCTTACTCGAGGTGAGTGTAGTGCTCTCATGAGCTCATTTGGGCAGCATAAGCTTGCCTCATGCAAATGTGAGCGTGGAGGGCTGCTTCCCCAACTTATGTAGGCTGAAACCAGCACTCCGGCGTGCCTATGGGCCTCTCCATGTGCCTCAAGGTCAATCGAGGTACCCCCAAGGCTTTCTCCCACCACTAGGCCTCTCCGGGGGCACCTTGGCCTCTTTTCGGCCAGATTCATGTAGTCTGAGTGTTTGGTACCAGCTCGGCTAACCTCTAGCGTCGCCTCGTGCCTCAATCTCATTTTCAGAAGCTGCCCTCTGGGGTCCAAATATCCAAGGGGCAGCTGCACTTGAAAGAAAAAAGCCTTGTGGGCCAATTTTAAACACTAGGGACCTGCCAGTCCCTACTTGTGCCAGTCCCTACTGACGGCCAACTCACTCACTCCCTTTCACGTCCTTTGTCTCATTCTCCCTCCTTTTTCTCTCTCTTTTTCTTTGCTTTTTCTTTCTTTTTCTGGCATGCCAAGTGTCAACTAGTTGTTGAGGCCTTTTCTAGGCCTTACCTCTTAGTTTTGGCCCTTCCCATGCCCAAGGTGCAGTCCGTTATTACTGCAACTGTGGCTCCCCCATGCTCATGGGAACCTCATTTTGCCCTTGTTTCTTCCACACAATAGCCCCTCCTACTCCGATTTTCTCCCGGAGGCCTATTTTTCACATGGAGCCTCTCTAGGCTCCATTTCCTACAAGGTGGCTGATCCGAGATATTTCGGATTGCTGTTCCGTCTCTCCTTTCATATTTCTTTACTTTCTTTTCTCTTTTGGTCCTCCCTTTTGCTTCCACTAGTGCTTGCACTAGTGGTGCTGATATTCCTGGCCGTTAAGATCTTGATCTTGACGGCGCACCTTGCTTTGAAGATTTCTTTCTCATGGCCCTTCACAACTCCTCTCCTTGGGGCATCACTAGTCCTTGAAACGTCCCGCACCAGTCCTCGACACTTGTCCCACCGATGTTCCCGCCGATGCTTGTTTCATTGGTGGTCCTGTTGGTACTTGTCCCAAAATACCATTATTTTTACTTGGTCCCGTATGGTCCCCGACACCTTTCCTCGTGGTGGCCCGGTTTCTCTTGGCGTTTCCCATCCCATGGTGGCCCCGTTTTCTTGTCTCTTTCCATGTCCCAAACGCGTCAGTCTTTCCGGCCGCGAGATCTCTAATCCCGTGGTTCTTGGCAGTTGCCTCGGATGGCCCCCATGCTAGGGCCCTTTCTTTTCTAGCGGTACCATCAGATTGCGATCCGGCCCGAGGATCAACACAAAACCGCATTTCAGACCATACGAGTTTGTGGTGATGCCTTTCGGCCTTTGCAATGCTCCTGGCACCTTTCAGCATGCTATGAATCAGATATTTCATGACTACTTGGATAAGTTTGTCATCGTATACCTCGATGACATACTTATTTTTAGTAAGACTGTCGAGGAGCGCATTGCGCACTTGGACAAAGTCCTTAGTCTTCTTCGAGAGCACAAGTTCCAGATCAACAGTGAGAAGTGCGAGTTTGGTCGCACCCGTATCTTGTACTTGGGTCATGAGATTTCCGCGGACGGTCTGAAGCCCGGTGATGCGAAGGTGGCCAGCATTCGTGACCGGCCGCGTCCTCAGTCTGTGACTGAGATGAGGTCCTTCTTAGGGATGACAAGCTACTAGCACAATTTTGTTCAGAATTACAGCATAGTTGCCGCCCCTTTGACGGACCTGACTCGCCTTGACACCCCATGGGAGTGGACAGACAGGTGTGAGGCTGCTTTCAGACAACTGAAGCATGCGTTGACACACCATGAGGTCTTGAAACTTCCTGATCTTGACAAACCTTTCGTAGTAACTACGGATGCTAGCCAATATGGCATATGTGTCGTGCTTGCGCAGGAGGAGGGGAAGAAGTTAAGGCCGATAGAGTACATGTCCAAAAAGATGCCCTCTCAGAAGTTGGCGAAGTCCACCTATGAGAAGGAACTCTATGCGATCTACAAGGCGCTCACCCATTGGAGACACTATCTACGTCAGGACTGATCACCAAACCCTGAAGTGGATGAGAACCCAACCTGTGCTCTCCGACGCTCTGAAGCGTTGGATCGAAGTCATAAAGCAGTATGACTTTGAGCCCCAATACATCAAGGGCGAGTACAATAAGGTTGCTGATGCGCTGTTGTGTAGACCATATTTTTTTGGTGCGCTGATCACTGAGTTTGGGCTTGCGGACGATGTTACTTGCTCTATGGTGGAAGCCTATCGCAAGGACCTGTTTATGCCTGAGATCATACGCAGACTCGAGGCGAAGGACAAAGTGACTTCTGCTGAGTTTGTGTTGGTCAACGGACTGCTGTTCCTTGAGAAGGCAGGGAATAAACGTCTATGTGTGCCAGATAGGGAGTCTTTGCGTAGTTTTTAGGTGAGTGTCATGATGCCACCGTACATTTTGGTTTCAAGAAGACTGCAGCCAATCTGCTGCAGCGATTCTGTGGCCCACGAGGATGAGAGATGCCAAGCTGTACGTGGAAACTTGTCAGGTCTGTCAGAGAGACAAGCCCCGTACGCAGGCCCCTCTTGGGCTCCTAAAGCCCCTTCCGATTCGGAAAGGCCCGGTGAGAGCCTGTCTATGGACTTCATGGACACGCTGGTCACCAGCAAGAGTGGAATGAGCCACATCTTTGTTATCGTAGATAGGTTTAGTAAGTACGCTAGGTTAGTTGCAATGTCGGAGACAGCAAAGACCGAGTATGTGATCAGACTCTTCAAAGAGAAATGGGTGAGAGACTTTGGGCTCCCAAAGTCTATTGTTAGTGACAGGGATGTCCGATTCACAAGTGAGTTGTGGAAGGCTGCAGCTGCAGAACAGGGAACAAAGCTGCAGATGACTTCTGGGAACCATCCCGAGGCCAATGGCCAAGCAGAGCAGCTTAACCGCGCTGTGCAGCACCTGTTGCGGCACTACATCAAGCCCAATCAGGTGGACTGGGATGAGAAACTTGCTCTCATCGCCAGCCTGTATAACAATGCTGTGCACAACGCAACTGGAGTAAGTTCTAATAGTCTGCTACTGACTTTCAAGCCCTGACAATCAGTCAACTGGTGCACCCGGCACCCTTGAGTTTGCCTATCGCTATCAACAACTGATGCAGCAGGCAGTAGAACAGATGCACAAGGCACAGGCGGCATTGATAGAATCTGAGAACAAACACCGCCGCCCTTCTACATTTCAGATAGGGGACAGAGTCTGGGTAAAATCCTCAGAACTGGGACAGGAGCAAGGGATCTCCCGTAAGCTCATGCCACAGTTCTTTGGACCATGGGAGGTTCTCGATGTTGTTGGGGAAGATCCTGATGGGCCATCCTATGTTATTCGGATCCCTGGTCATCTCTGCACTAACCCTGTCTTTCACGGCTCCAGTTTCCCTCTCGTCGCTCTATGCTGCCCCCAACCATGGATGGAGAGGTCGACATCGACGACATTGTTGATCACAGGGAAATGCCAGTTCCAAGACCGACGGGCAGGGGACGTCCTCCGAAACCGAAGCTGCAGTACCGGGTTCGGTTCAGACATCACACTGATCCAAAGGAGGATAGATGGTTCACACGGGAGGAACTGATGCAGACCGCTCCACAGGTCGTCGCTCATAGAAGTCTCTGCGGAAAGGAAAACGCCAGATTATCGAAGATTGAACTTCTCAGAGGACTATCGAAGCATGGAGGAGGGAATGCAAGGCTTAGGGTCTCGATATGCCCTTCAGGGCCCACTTTTCACACAGTCGGCCGCCCTAAGTGAACGCAGGCACGACCGCGGCCTACAGGCCATTTCAGGGTCACCACGCAACCGGGGAAATTCAGGCAGTTGCGCAGCGCCAGTTGTTTGGAAGCACCCCGGGCCCAGGTTGCCTTCATTGCATGTAACTAAGGCAGGCCCTGGGCCGGATACACAAAGTGGACTGAACAAAGGCTCAGGGCAGTTGGGTGCTGATGACCGCCTCAGGCCCTGGGCCTGTTTCCTTCGGACTGAGGCTCAGCCTCCCTGGGCCTACCGGAAGCTTCTGGGCCGGGGCTCAGTACCGCAGCACAGCACGCAGCAGCAGGCCACTTTGATATAGGGAAGGGTCTGCCCATGCATTGGACATTCGGGCACTGGCTGCTTTGTGCGCAAGCGCTGGTGCGCTATCGCCTGCCAGGCTCACGCGCTCACGGGCGAGCTGGAAGGAGCAGGCAGCCATAGCTGAACTGCGCTGCTGTATGCTGTATGCTGGATGCGGCGCATGGTGGTCCTTGGGTGCAAGTGGCATCTGTGAGTTGGGGAACGAGGTTGTGAGTGATACGAGAGACATACCTGGTGCTTGAAGGTGCGGCATTGGCCGAGATCTGCTCGTACTTCGGGGAGCTGTTGACGTCATCAGCGGCATTGTAGAGTAGGCTAGATAGGATCTGTCATCTGTAGTCTGGGCGCCGAGCGCCAGATAGGATATCAACATTGGTTCTTCGTTGATGATGATGATGAGACTATTCCAGCATTGTCAATTATGAGCTTTTGGTGTACTCTTATTTGGTGGAACTCGTGATGCAATTCTGCTTTTGGTTCGAGGTCACGACTATCTGGTCTCATGTGTATGATGCTGTTTGATTGCTGAAGTTCGCTATTGCTCATCTTCCTTGCAAAAGGTTCTGTCACCTTTCAACAAAACTGTTATTGAGTGGATTATAAGGTAGGACAAGCTTGAACTTGCCTTTTCCTACAGTGAGGTAGGTTGTTCACACATCAGGGTAGAACAATCACTCAAGGGTTTTCGTGGATGTATCCTAAGTTCTGAAGTCAATATGGCAACTTTCAGAATAGTTGTAGCTGGAGTAGACTTTTATAAGGCAATGTTTGATGTCTCATGTACCCTTAACGTCATACTGGCAGTTCACATTTTTGCCATTCTTTTGAATTTTGCAGTTACAGCCTCTGGCTTACATGATCTGTCCCTGTGTTGACAGGTCCCCTTCGGCCCTGGATTTGGAGACATTTGTGCAATTTGAGGCGGCCACTGCATTTTCAAGACCAGAGATTGGGTTTTTAACTTATGGAACTCTTGTTAACAAGAGTGATGCAGCAACGTTTGAGTCTACTGAGCGGCAGGTTGCACCAACCGAAGGCACCTCCGAGTGGAATGCAATGAAAGAGTTTAAGCGTAGGGAGGATTGGACACAATTCAAGGCAGCAAAAGGGACAATGAAAGTGGATAGTTCCTGTAACCCTTACCCATGGGAGTCCTCCGTTTTTGCGCCAATAATTCTCACCGATGGGCCAAACTTGCAGTACCTCGGGTTTGACCTGCTTGCATGCTTTGGTGAGTGGTAAATGCACTGGCACCTTTGTTCCTGCTGTTGTAAGCCGTAGGCTCTAGAGCCTAAATAATAAATAATTGATCCTAAAGGCCTAACCGTAGGCTCTAAACCATTATCCCTAAACCCTAATCTCTGTATGAACTCACCTGTGAAACCGATTGATTTGGATGAACTATCAGGTTATAGTACTGTTATACTCGTTTGAAACGGTTTTCACCTTTTGCAGTCACAGATGCGGATCCCAGGGCTCGATCCCCAGACCTTACCTTACCTTACCTGTGTACAGTATCAAGTCGGCCCTATGTGTCTTGAACCCGTGATCTGTGTGTTAGTAGTTGAAAGTTGTCTGTCGTAGGTCTGAGTAGTTGTCGGGTCTTGAACCTTAGACCTGTCAAAATAGGGGTCGTATCTGCATAGGGGTCATAGTTGTTGTAGTTCTGAAAGGTCAAGGTCGTAGCTGCTACAGTCCTGAAAGGCCAAGTCCGCAAACTTCCGGAAGGTCCAGAAGTGGCCTTTCAAGTTTCTTCTCACATTATACACAGCAGACCAGAGGCAAGTGGGCAAGTGGTGAGTCCAACTTCGCTTAGTCAGCGGTACCCAGTCCCAGTCTCACTTTGTGCAGTCAGCAAGTACCATGAGGGACTGTGTGCACCATGGGCCCGGTGGAAAAGGGCAGACCAGCGACTTACAGAAGTATAAACCAAGAGGCAGCGTCCAGCCATTCATTCATTCCTGCGTGAGCCATGCGGAAGCGCTGCTCTAGCGTCTTGTGTGAGGTGGTCTGCAGATGCCCAAGGTCGAAGTGGGCTGAAGGAAGAGTATCCATAGCTAGTAGAGGTTAGGCGGCCATAGCCGCTGTAGCTTAGAGGCAGATTTCAGTGTGTGTGTGTGTGTGTTGCAGAGTGTATGTGCGTGGGATATTCAGGGAGGTCCGACGTCGAGTGAGTGTGAACCGTTTGGGGACACAGCGTTGGAGAGAGGATGTGTGAGCGCCCAGTGGCCTTAGCCAATTGGAAGCGAGTTTGTAACTGAACTGTGTTCTCGGCTTGCCTATCTCTGAGTTTTGTGTGGGTGCACAGTGCCAGTGTAAATTGCCATGTGTTTGCATGTATGCGAAGTGAAGAAGAAAGCGAGTCTGATTGCATTGGTATCGTGCATAAAAAGAAAGAAAAAAGAAGAAAGAAAATAAAAATAAAAATGATTGCATTGGTATCGGAGCAGGTTCCCGGTATCCCATGCGCCATCGTTGTCTGGGCGCCATAGCTGTAACCGCGCCATTGAAGGAGGAAGGTCCGCCATAGCTGCGCTGTTGAGTAAAGGTGTCGCGTACCTGCAAAGAAGACAACGAAGAGAGAGAGAGAGAGAGAGAGAGAGAGAGAGAGAGAGAGAGAGAGAGAGAGAGAGAGAGAGAGAGAGAGAGAGGAGCGGTACACGATTGGTTTTTCGGTCCAAGACAGGAGGTGGCGGCCATAATCGCCGAAGCTCGGACACAGGGTTATAAGGGAGAAAGAAGATGAAGTAGAGGAGAAGGGAGAGATGAAGAAGGGAAAAGAAAGACATAGCCGGGGTGAAGGAGAAAGGAAGTGAGAAAGAAGGAAGGAGGGAGAAGGCGAAGTGAAGGTTGAAGGGAGACAAGGGGTCGGCAGCCATAGCCGAGTTGGACGTTGACCAAGGCGTTGACCGGGGAGTTGACGGAGGAGTTGACCAGGGTTGACCAAGGTTTTGACCGAGAGTTGATTGGGAGTTGACCGGGGGTTGATCGAGGTGTTGACTGAGGGATTTACCGGTGTTGACCAAGCGTTGACCAAGGCGTTGACCGGAGCTGTTGACCACGAAATTGACCAAGCTGGAGCGAAATTCTGCAAATACGAGTTTTCTTCAAATCTGAGAATTATGCAAATTTGAGTTTTCTGCAAATCTGAGTTTTTCTTTAAATATAAGTTTTTCTGCGAGTCCGAGCTTTGGACGGCACAAAGGGGTGGGGACAGGTGCTCAGAAGTAGGAGGACGCCCGAAGCCAACCACCTTGCACCTTCTTTTTCCTCCACCTTCATTACCCGTCCACCATGGCCAAGCGCCTTGCACCTTCTTCTTTCTCCACCTCCATCGCCCATCCACCATAGCCAAGCACCTTGCACCGTCCTCCTCCACCTCCATCACTTGTCGACCATAGCCAAGCAACTTGCACCTTCTTCCTCCTCCACCTCCTTCATCCATCCACCATAGCCAACCACGTTGCACCTTCTTTTAGCTCCGCCTCCATCACCCATCCACCATAGCCAACCAACTTGCACTGTCTTCTTCCTCCACCTCCATAACTGGTCCACCATAGCCAATCACCTTGCACCTTCTTCCTCCTCCACGTCCTTCACCCATCCACCGTAACCAACCACCTTGGACCGTCTTTCTTCTCCGCCTCCATCACCCATCCTGCGTAGCCAACCACCTGGCACCTTCTTCTTCCTCCACCTCCATCACCCATCCACCAGAGCCAAGCACCTTGCACCTTCTTCTTCGTTCGCCTCGATCATCCATCCACCATAGCCAACCACCTTGCACCTTTTCCTCCACTGCCGTCACCCATCCACCATAGCCAACCACCTTGCACCTTCTCCTTCATCTCCATCACTCATCCACCATAGCCAAGCACCTTGCACCTTCTTCCTCCGTCTCCATCACTTATCCACCATAGCCAAATACCTTGCACCTTCTTTCTCCTCCACCTCCATCACTTATCCACCATAGCCAAGCAACTTGCACCTTCTTCTTCCTCCTCCTCCACAGCCCATCCACCATAGCCGAACACCTTGCACCTTCTTCTTCCTCCACCTTCATCACCCATCCGCTATAGCCAAGCACCTTGCACCTTCTCCTTCCTCCACCTCCATCGCTCATTCACAATAGCCAAGCACCTTGCAACTTATTTTTCCACCTCCATCACCCATCCACCATAGGCTCATAGCCAACCACCTTGCACCTTCTTCTTCCTCCACCTCCATTACCCATCTGCCATAGCCAACCACCTTGCACCTTCTCCTTCCTCCACCTCCAACGCTCATCCACCATAGCCAAGCACCTTGGACCTTCTTCTTCCTTCACCTCCATCGCCCATCTTCCATAATCAAGTACCTTGCACCTCCTTCTTCCTCCACCTCCATCAGTCATCCACCATAGCCAAGTACCTTGCACCTCCTTCATCCTCCACCTCCATCGCCCATCCGCCGTAGCGAAAATTTGTGTCATCTTCCTCGCTCGCCTCCTCACTTGGCCACCACCATGCATCATCCTCTCCACCTTGGTAAGGAGCCTAGGGGGACCCTTGTAGGATAAGTAAGGGGCTTGACTTGAACATAGAAGCTCTCTCTCTCTCTCTCTCTCTCTCTCTCTCTCTCTCTCTCTCTCTCTCTCTCTCTCTCTCTCTCTCTCTCTCTCTCTCTCCTTTGCCAACTCTCTTTCGTACCTTCATTTTCTAGGCTCATCCAAGACCTTTCGCCCCTCCTTCCTCTCGACATGCAGCTAACCCATCCCTGCTCACTTGTCACATTGCCAATGGTGAAAGAACTTTGACCCCACTTGGCGGAGAAAGAGGGCGAGGGAAGGGCAGTCGATCCCTTGTGCCGCCAAGAGGAAAAGGACTTGAGGATTGAAAGGGCTTCCAAATTGTGAGAAGGTTGGTGGACTCAACCAACACCTTGAATGCATAAGAAAGAGAAAAGGGTGGATGTGAGAGGAAAAGGCGACTGCCACGAGGAAGGAAAATGAAGTAAAAAAAAAAAAAGGATAGGCATGCGAGAGTGGTTATGTGTTGATCTAGGAAGGGGATGTGCTTGTCCGTATTGAGATTGAGTGTGCAGGTAAGTGATAGGTCAAGGATTTTTTTGTGCGAGATTGGATGCCTAAAGAGGCTGGTTGTCAAAGAACAATTAACGAGTGAACGTGTTGTGAACGAAACCCTTGCTATGAGCAACCCTGTGCATGGGTCCTGGGGACCATCACACGCAAGTGTGTACATGCCATGCATCGTACTCCCACACACAATGAACAGTAGTCTGACAATAGACAAAGATAGAGAAGATGAGNCATGCATCGTACTCCCACACACAATGAACAGTAGTCTGACAATAGACAAAGATAGAGAAGATGAGGACCGAGTTTCACAGTTTATATTATCAGAAATATGAATACAAAGTGTTTCAAAGTTCCCCTGAGTCCAGCGCTCATCAGCGCAACACCAATATCTTGCCAACTCATCAATATGCCTTCCAGTGAGCGAGAGAGCTTTGACATTGGGGATGTAGCTCAGCCCTCGAGCTAGGTAGGTAGTCTCGTTGATTCTAGGCAAGCACTCATTCTCAATTCTTCATTGTGTTTGCTGGTAATTGCTCCTTCCAATGCTCATGCAGTCCAGCGTGTTCATTGAGAGTTCTTCTTTGTAGGACAGGCCAAGTGTCCTCCTTGGTCGTATATTCTTTTGGCCTAGGAGCCAGTTCTAGTGGGTGTCAGCGAGGCATATAACCCACCCCTCAGCTTAGACCGTGTGACTATAATCGCGCGGCCCTGTGTTACATCACCATGGTGCTCCATTGTTCCACGCCTCTTGCCAACTAAGTTCTCATACCCTATGTATTTTGCACAAGTTACTCATTCACGGACTCTGTTGCCTTGTTTGTCTAAACACCCCTTAGTCTTTTCGGGGCCCCTCTTGCACATTCTCAGACTCCATTCCTTTGGCTCACATACATTCCATACAACAGATTTTTCCTTTCTTTAAACCCTCTTCAACAATGAGGGATGCCACTCTAAGCACAAAGAAGCAGGTAAAAGGGCCTTTACCCGATATAGGCCTCAGGCCTTGTAAAAATAGAGCAGCACGGGCCTTGTAAAAGCAAAGCATTGTGAAAAGGTATCT